TTTGATAGCCAGCTCTATAAGCTTTAATTTGATATAGGGGTTTAGGTATCTACAGCTTAAACCGGACGCGCTACATCGCTTGGACACGAGACACCCCTGAAGGTATATGGTAACCTTAAAAGACCTGTTGAATGGCTGCTTTTTGCAAAGAAAATTAGAACCCTATGGGTACCAACTGCTTTCGAATTCTTATGAAAAACAACTTAGAGCGGCATTTTTCTGTTACATTATCTATTGAACAAAGACGGTTAATGGCTGGGAAATTTGAATAACAAAACAATGTTTATATGCAGCAAATAAGCCATGTTTTTTGTGCTACTCAACAATTGAAAGTTCAAGAATTTTAAATGGGGGTAGCTACAGTTAAGACCCCTTTATACTCAGATCAGAACTACTTTTTTAACTGCTCCCCCCACCAAAAAAAAGTCTTACTACTTCGTAACAAAGCGCCAGTCGTAAAAATTTGTTCAAAATTCTAATATCAAATTAACGATATCCCTGAAAAAAAACTTAGAGCCATTGAAAAATAAACAAGTTGTAATATCAGAGGGGGTTGAGCATTTTGTATTTTGCACACATTTATACAAACAAATGCAAATTGTATTTTACAACTGTTCAGCACATTGAACGTAATATAAATAATGAACAATTTTTAAACCCATGTGGTTGGCTTGACGTATTTAATCGCTGACGCATCTTTTTATTTTCCCTTCATTTCTATAGCGATAATGAAAGATAAGTTGGTTTTGAGAAGACACGTACGGTATTGCAAATTATGCCGATGAAATTCGACTTTTTGGGGGATAAAACCTACTTTACCTCCATGTTTCATGCTAAATTTTGTTATAGCTAAATCTTGTTGACAAAAGCCCACGGAAATTTGAAGTTAAGCGAAATTTAGCGTGAATTTCTCACCGCAGCCAATTTGCATGCGGAAATTAGCGGCTTATTTTGACTTTCAATGAGTTGAAGATCTGACAATTAGGATTGACAAAAGAACAATACATAAAATGTGTTCATTTCTAAATGCAAGCCGCACTTAACGAGGCGAAAACGAATTCAGGTCGGCTTTGGTAATCCACAGCTGAAATATTAAACTTGGACAACTGAACGAAAGTTCATCGATACCCAGAGCACCTGTGCGTAAATATATTGTCATGAACAACATCATTTCTTTTATTGGGGAAAATTCGCTTTCTATTTGAAAACATTACCATGACTGCCTTCGCATTTAGCCGAATAAACCGGTTAAATTAATCACTTGTATTAGATCCAAAGTGAAAAAGTCAAATGAATGACATCTTTCCCTTTGTTCGACTTCAGAAGTCCGCCTACAGAATCTTCAGAGTCAGGTGTTATTCATATAAACACTGGTGCCATAAAAAAAAACACTAGATTAGAATCTCCAACAAAGGCATTCAACTTGATGCTGTTCTAAATTGTCGGGGTTTACAAAAACATTGCTGAACAAACTTGCTTATTAAAACATTCAGGCTTACCTGGTCTTAGGATCCCAGATGTAGAAACAGGCCCATCTTCGAGGATACGATTCACGAAGATGACACCCCCGACATTTTTAATTGTGCACCCAAGTCCCTGTCCTTTTTCTCTCTGGATCGTTATCCTCTTCAATCCTCCGGTTAACTTGGTGCTTTTCCTTCTAACTGGGTCGGTTTCTTCTTCTTTCAGTTCATTCTCTTTAGCTGTTTGTACTGATAACATCCACAGCTCTCTGTCGAACTCGGAACTACAACAGAAGCTGAAGAATGGCTTTCCTTCCACGATCAAATTAAAACAATGCTTTCTCTTCTTGGTTTCAAACTTCTCAATGGATTCTATGTCCATCAGAAATATCCGAGCTTCTGCAGTGCGCCCACGTTTCTGGTCTTCCTCTTTCTTGAAGGTGCACAACATCTGTCTGTTGAGAACCACGAACCGAGGACGCCATTGCTTCAGCAGGCTCGTTTTCTTTTGAAGAATACCTTCTTTGATGACTCGCTTCTTCATCTTCTTGCCTTGCTCTGCCATGACACTGTTGTGCTAAGCAATTTAAATAATTCTAATCCGACGATGAAACGCTAAGAATGCTGCCCATTTTTAGCGTGGAGGTGTTTAGCATACTCAGATCAGATCATTTACAACTGGTTGCTATTAGCTATCGTATGCTAGCTTTTGTAGCTACCCACGCAATGTTTTAACCACTCTCGCTGTCATTTATGGCATTTATGCACCACACACCTCTACTTCAAATTAGTTCCCACCTTCTCATTCAACGCCGTTGCTGAAATACTCAGTAACGCTTAACCAAGCGTCTTATTTTCACAGCGTATCAGTCGAACGTGGCTCATTAGTTGTTACTGCTCCTCTTCCTGTCGGGTCCGCCAATGACGACTTCCGTTCGCCACTTTTCAGCGAGCTGTTACCGCCATAAAAGGAAACGAATCACGTGATGTAGCCAAATTTACGATTGTGACGCTCCGTATATGACGTCACGATCGGATAAGACTCGGTATACTTCGTCAACTAAACTACATTCTTGCACGTTGTAGAGGTAAAATTGTTTATTCCGTTGCACAATATTGAACAAAAACCATGTCAAATAACAAATTTCAAAATATAACGCTCAGGCGCAGGCCGAAGTAAAGGAAACGTCAATTTCCAAATATAGCAACATAGCAAGCCTTTAAAAAAAAAAAAAAAAAAATATTGAAAACATTTGATCTGTCAGAAAATGAATACTGAAAGTTTACAAATTTGTATTAAGCAAGTAATACCAATTTTGTAATTGGCTAATAAAAATTGTGGGCTTTATGATGAAAACATGGATTTGAAAAATTTAGAAAATGTTTCTCAAATATTCAAGTTCCTGGTTTCACTTTCTAAACTTACCAGGTGTTATTAATGTTGATGGTATTCAAAACGTTTTATTTATCCTTCCAGAACATGCCATATTTTCCTGATTAGTAGTTGCATACCTAAAATATTGTTTAAAACTAGGCAGTTATTTTCACCCAACTTTGTAAACAGATAGTGGTACTTCATCTATTTATGACAGACTGACTTATGTCTAGCTTCTTTTTTAAGAATAATTATTCCATTTTTATTTTTCTTGGTAATTAGCATAAACATTGACATGAATAACAACCTGTATTGAATATACTGATCTGAAACAATCCCTTAAAAAATACACATCAAACCATGGAAACTACTATTTTGGAGCTGTAATCCAACCCTGCCAATTTTTAAAAGTTTACCCCCCTTTGGTCAAGAAAAAAAAGAAAGAAAGATTTTGGCTAGCCTCCTCTGTGGGTAACTGTTTAGATTTTAACTTAATTGAAAAAGATGGATAAATTTACTCCACTCTGGTTAAGGAAAAAAAAAGATTCTGGCTAGCCTCCTCTGTGGGTGGGTAACTGATAAAATTTGAACTTAATTAAAAAAGATGAATAAATGAAGAATTGTATGCCCCATGTTGTTTGAAATTAGCTAAGGTGCATCTCAGGTTAGTCCCTTGGCATTGTTTCTTGCTATGTTGCCACATTGATAAGCAGGAACCCTCAGTGACATCAAAATTCAAAGAGGGATCCTGGCCTTTTCCAAACCAGGTCTGAAGAGAATGACACTGGATGGTGAGGAGGAGGCAGCTAGAGTAAAGGGATGTAAAGAGCAGGAAGTGGGACCCTGGCCACTCAACTAGCTACTCAGATTCTTTTTTGCAGCCAGTATATGGATTGTAACACAACAGTACATGTACATGCACTCTCCAATCAAGAGGAGAAGAGTTGCGTCACACTTGAACATAGCTGTAAAGGAGACTTTGTCTATACCTTTACAGGCTCAGATAAATTATACAGAAACTAACTTGGCCTGCAAAACCAAAATAAAAAAAAGCCTTTCCTCAAGAAACAAGATTTATTTTGCATTCATTACAGCATTTTTTTATGATTGTTGTGGCTGAGAAGACTGCTGTTCTGACGGCATGGAACGAATGATGTCCGAGTCACCAGGATCCGTAATACTGAGAACTGACACACGGAAGTACTTGCCACAAGCTGTTCCCAGTTCAATATTGTTGCCGGTGTAATGATGGACTCCAGTCTTGGCCAGCATGGCATAGTACTCAATCTCACTTTTCCTGTTGACAGACACAAGGAAAATTACCACTATGAATAGTACTTACCCCAGGGAGTTGTTGTTCAAGCACAAGTTTAGGTAGGATTGGAAAATTGAGGATCTTAGCTCCAGTCAATACAATAAAAATGGCTTAATGAAATTTAGGTTGGGATATTATATATCAGAGCCAGTAGAGAACTTAAACACAAGGCTTTTTTGAGCTGCAGACGTTTAAGTTCTTGCTCCTGGCACATATTCACGCCTGCCAATGACTTGCAAAACTCTTATTTTACCATTTGCAACTTGATGTGTTTAATGAAAGCTAAGTCATCTTTGCTGTGCTCACTTATCAGCAACATATATTAGCAACAAGGTAATTTCTTCATTTCTTCCAATAATTAGAGAACAGGCACTCAGCAGAGCTGCAACATTAATACATTTCAATGACGACATTGTTTGCCAGCAAAAAACTGTGTTTCTTCTGGCCTTTTAAAGGTAATAAGTCACAGAAGCTTAACTTGTGACTTTCAATTCAATTCTTTATTTACACTATATAGGGCGTTTAGAAACATTTTATAGTAAAAAGGAAATAGTAAAAAGTTTAGCAATATGATGCTGTAAAGAAATAAAATTTATATGTGAGCAGTGACCAAAGTAGCCAGAGCTCTCTGGATGGACACTGCCATAGTTAAGTAAATGGCAGCATAAAAAATTAATTCAGCTAAGCTAGACCTACATACACTACATTACAAAGCTCTTATTTTACCATTATTAACAAATCCTTCAAATCTTTTATTCACTTTCATTACCTGAGCTGAGGCGTGTTGTTTGAAATGATAACAAGCTTTGCCTTGCCCTGTCGAAGTGTTTTAAGAGTTGACTTGTATCCTAATGTGAACTTTCCACTCTTCATCACAAGAGCGAGACGAGAGTTAATACTCTCCATTGCCTTTTTCTACAAAAAAAATCAATCAAGATAAGATTAACTATTCTAGACCTACCTGGGGTGCTCAGGCAATAGATTTACCAGATTACCCACTGGGCAAAATCCACAATCCCAGTTGAAAAATCAACCAGCTCTGAAAAGCTGGACAGGACTTTTCAGGAATTGGACAGGGTTTTACACAAACAACTGATTAAAGCTACAGAAGTGAACAATTCAACTTTAAAATTTTTCATTGCACTCCACTTTTGGCCATAATCCTCTGGAGGTAATTGGGGGTGTCACTTCATTCAACATTGAAAACATCTCCTTGCATAACCACAGTTGAGTAGGAGGATAGACCAGCTATAGTGAAATTTGTAATCAAGTGTAAACCACTTTCCTTCACCCTGAATCTTTCAAGCCCGATGCCAGTGTAAATTTATGTTACCACTTAACATTAACCACTATGGGCAATACATATGTTGGCCACTAACATCAGTAAGATTAGGCACCTTAAGATACCAGGACGGGAAGAGCTAGGACGGCTACCAGAAGTAAATTTACTCAACAGGGCATGCGCACGAGAACTCTCCACTAATCTCTCTGCCGTCCTCGTCTCGTCGAGGACGTCATTTCGCCCGACTAGCCGTCGCA